ATATATTAATATGCGTTTCTATCATGGTTGTCAACTTAAGTTTTCTCAAATACAACGTATTTGTTTGCTTAAAATTGAAGTTTTAATTCCATTTTAATACCACTGGGGAAAATGATAATGGAAGGGATTAAAAGTTGGCAGGTATGCTATCTCATACCTGCGAACTTTTTCCCAGTGGTATTAAAATGGAATAAAAAGTTCAATTTTAAGCAAAAAATTACTTTGTATTTGAAAAAGCTTAAGCTGCATACCATGACTAGACTAGACTAGATATATATTTGTTCAAAGTGCCTGCCCGCGAAGCGGGCATCTCACTATTGGCTTTGGTGAGGAGAGAATGGAGTACGGGGGAAGTCCCCTGAGTCAAGGTAGAATTAAAGATGATGAGAGTTATAATGCACAAAGTTATGTACAGATCTGATAGATTAATAATATATATACAATATAATAATTAGTAAATTAGATATTAAAAAACAGTATAATTACAATAAATTTACATATATTTGCATACCTGCCAACTTTTAATCCCTTTCGTTATGATTTTTTCCAGTGGTATTAAAGTGGAATTAAACAGTAACACATATTAATTTATATACTTAATTTTTTAAAGAATAGTGGTGATGAAAATTATTTAAAAATTTAGATTATAAAAGAAAAAAATAGTATATATTTACTATCACTTTAAATATAAAAATAAAATTTCATGCCAAATGCGTAAAAGTTGGCAGGTATGCTATCTCACTAATATTTATAACCATAATATTTTTAAAAATTTTTTTAATGAATAAAAATTGTTATACAAATATTGTCCTTGGAAATAAGGCTTTGAAATCAGGTGATATTAAAAAATCTCACCTATTAGCAAGGCCGGGAGTGCTGTATTTATCAGGATTGTTCTGTCTATAGTGCTTGACAAAATCAGATATTGGACGGAGGGGTGCATTTCCTTGGAAGCGGAACACAGTTTCAAAGTCGTCCGGATTAAATAAATGAATGACAGGTTTTCCCCACTGGAATTCTTCTTTCACGATTTGACCATAACGTTGATATTTATCTATAGCAGATTCATGAAGGCTAGCCAAACTGTACCGACCTGTGAAACAAATCCATGAATATTAATAAATATCAAAGAATACAGAATTATAAATTTCTATCCTAAAAACTAAAATCAAGTATTTTTAGATATTAAATCGCAATCTAACCCTTATGAGGGCACTAACTGACGATAAAAATGATGCTTACTTCCAGAATTAATAAAGAATGGTTTATAGTTTCATATCGTATCTTTGTATTTTTCTTAATCATATATGATAAATACGCATAGGTGCCAACTTGTAATAATTTTCATTTCAGAAGATTCTTCTAAACCTAATTGTTGTTTTACTACCACTTTTCAAAATCTTTCTTAAATACCGCACAAGTTAGCAGGTATGAAAATGTAATGTTTTTAACGATGGATTGTAGTATGCATAGCTGCCAACCTGTAATAATTTTTCTATTTAGAAAATTCTTCTTAGCATAATCGTTGTTTTACTACCACTTTACAGAATCTTTTTCAACGACGGAAGAAATTTTTTGGTATGAACATGTCATACATATTAATTTTAGGGTATAATAATAGTGACAATCTTGACAACTTCGAGACCATCTTGTAAAATATTTGAGGCTCCCCTCATCTAAATATAGACGCAAAGTGTTGATCATTTAATTTCTAATATTTGTAATAAGAAACTATACACTAACGAAATGAAAAAGAATATGATTGGATACAATAAATGAGAATAAGTTATTTTTACCACTAACAATTGTTAGCGTGTCATTGTTAAGATCTATAAAACTTCATCAATAATAAACTAAAAACTGTGTAACAAAACCCCATGACCATATAATAAGGTAGGTTTCATACTCACCTGGAAAAAAATGAAAAAGAGGTAGTAATATTAATATAATTTTTTTTAATATTATTATGTTTGTAGCAACCAGAATGTTTTTTGCTCTAATTGAATATACATACATCTGAAGGTGGTAGATGCACAGCTGCCAATTTGCACGACCGGTAAGAAAACTTTTTCGTAGGGGTAGCAGCATTATAGCGTTTTGACGCTATAATGCTGCTACCACTAAAAAAAGAAATATTGAATAAAATATTTCAAAATATAGTAAAATTATAAAATATTAAAAATATAAAATATTAACAGAGATGCCAACTGCTCCGGACACTCCAAATAAATTTAAAAAAAGGTAAATAACTACTAAGTAAATTTTGCAAAGATTTGACTATTTTTCTTTGCTTTTTAAAAGGTATAGCAAAACAAACATAAGTACTATAGAGTGGTGAATTATATAAGTCAACGAATTATTTAGAAATAGTGGTGGATAAAAATCTACTAAATTGAATTTATTAAACCAAGAATCACAATTGATAAACTACCACTTGAAAATATATATTGGTGTCCGGAGCAGGTTGGCATCTCTGTATTAAAAGTATAAAATATTAAAAATATAAAATATTCGAAATATTTTAATATATTCAAAACATATAAAAAATATTTCAAAAAAATATTCAATCTACCACGACAATTAAATACTTAAAACACATGCATACCTGCCAAATTTTACGCATTTGTCGTAAAATTTCATTTTTATATTTAAAATGGTAGTAAATATATACTATTATTTCTTTTAAAAACTTAATTTTTAAATGATTTTAATCACCACTATTCTTAAAAAAATTAAGCATATATATTTATATGTGTTTACTATCATTGTTGTCAGCTTAAGCTTTTTCAAATACAACGTATTTTTTGCTTAAATTTGAAATTTTAATTCCATTTTAATACCACTGGGAAAAATCATAATGGAAGTGATTAAAAGTTGGCAGGTATGCATATGTAAATGTGATCAATTTGTAGACTAATTTAGAACTTAAATGCTTAAGTATTTACATTTTTTGAAAATGTTTCGAACTTCAATTGTTGTTTTACTACTGCTCATGGATGAAAGCGAGACGAGAAAGCTGGTAGTACAAAACCATTTCAGTTTTAAATTGTTTTCGGAAAGAGTAAACCTATTCTCTTTTTCAAACTATTCAACAATTTCTGACGAAAGAAGCAGTTTTATGTATATATTATAATTGTACAATGATCCTCTGTAGCTATAGAAATTCAATGTTTCTCGAAAAAAATGCTAGAATAAAATGGTTTTCGCACCAGTTTTTGTTCTTTTCCGTCTTAGTATATAAAGGCTTTCAGCAGCTAATCTACTACTTCTAATTTAAGTTGGAAACAACACATAAATAAAATTATTAAAAAAGCGAATGGTGCCTATTGGGCCCTCAACTCCATATTAAACTCGTAGTCATCTTTAGACTTAAGATGCAAGCGCACTGTCTATCTAATGGCAATTACGCCAATTCTAACTTATGTCTGCCCCGCCATTAACACTCGAAGTGATCATTTAAAAAATAAACTCTCTATGGCAGAAGGGAAGATTATAAGAAGACTCGTCGGCGTCCCTAAATGCATTAGCTACAATAGTATAAAAAGGGATCTTAAAATTGATGACATCAGCGTCTATATAAAAAATTTAAACAAAAATTTCTTCGATGAAGTAAAAACCTGTACCACCAGCAATTTTAACTCACTCCTAGATATTGAATTAATTGACGACAACACTGAATTTAGCCCAATCACTGCCTTTTTCCTTAGGGATAAGATGTTGCCCTAGCACACGAAATACACTCTCGATTTTTGGTGCTAAGCACCCCCTCTTCCCCCCATCTACATTCTACCTCACTACTCCTCATCATCGATTTCTTACTACAGATGAATCGGTTAATGCCGCTTCGTGGCAGCGCACCGAGATTTATATGATTTCTACCATCTACTACTTTGTAAACCATTTAGGCCTCAGATGTCCAGTTCTACAACAACGAACGAACGAATACTACTTTGTAAACGATAAAACCATAGAAGGTAAAACAGAAAAATTTTAATAAAATCTTTAAATTTGAAAATTATAGCAAAGATAAAAACTACAGATCAATAGCTGCACATTTCTCCTCCGACGCCTCATATCATAACTGTCAAAACAAATAACTACATCAACCCTTCTGAAGATAACGTGATGTAACTCGGAACAACTTCAAACAAACATAGATTAGAGCAAGCTGCTCATTTTATTTTTTGATTCATCTTTAGTTATTAAGCAAAGTGCTTGAAACATTTATAAAAACAACCCCACTGTCTACTGACTTCAATGCTCAACACAACTCTATACAACTTCAAACATACATAATTCAGGGCAAGCTGCTCATTTTATTGAAACTTTAACACGTTGAGCTAATTTTACATGGCTTGCCGGTTTGGCCCAACTGTAATTAATTACAAACTAAAACTGCAAATGTTAGACAGATTTTGCTAGTTTACAAAAGGTTTGCATGACTTATCTCAAAAAAAAAAAAATGGTGAAGTATATATGTCTACGAATTGTTTAAAAATAGTGGTGGATAAAAATCTACTAAATTGAATTTACTAAAGCAAGAATCACAATAATTAAGTAAATTTTGAATAAATTTTCTGCAATTCCGTAAAAGAGTGCAAATTTTATAGATCTATATCGTGTTATACGCTGTCAGTCAGCTGTATTTTTCGGCCTATGTGAAAGGTCAGTGTCAGCACGCGGTGGCAGACGCAGCCTAAATGTAATTTCAGTGTCAGCCACCGGTGGTTGACGCAGCCTTAATGTTATTTCAGTGTCAGCTACCGATGGCTGACGCAGTGCTCAACGTATTAAACCTCAAGATTTAATAGACCATAATGCTATAGTTGCTACCACTAAGAAAATTATTTCTCAATAGCCGTACAAGTTAGCAGCTATGCCAATGATACATCAGTTCGCGAGTCAATGTAAAAGGTCAATGTTTCTCATTTCAAGGTTTTTCTTATGCCTTTGGTGCAATGTCTTCGCATAAACTTGCTGTGAGAACGCTAATTAAAAGCTAATTAATTCAAGAGAATAAATTTGCCGTTAACATACCGAATTCTTGTACAATCTTTTCTGTTTGACTTCAATGCTCTCTTAACTGTCAATTGAATAAATAAATACTTACAATGAAACCTAAAAGAGCCGCGATGGCTCAGGGGATAGAGCGTTTGCCTCCCAATTAGGCGTACCGGGTTCGAATCCCAGTCGATATGAATTCCGCATCCGACCTGCGCCAACCAGAGTGCTAACGTGAAATGTCCTCAGTGGTAGACGGATCATGGATTAGAATCCCCTTGCCGTCAGGCTAACCGTGGGAGGTTCTCGCGGTCTTCCTCTCCATGTAACGCTTATGCGGGTTAGCTCCATCAAAAAAGTCCTCCAAGAGTGCAAATTTCTCACAATACTCGATCCAGAAGTTCCCTGGTCTTCTGGATTGGGTTCAAAATTACAATGCTGCGGAGTTGCACATTAGTAGTCATAAACCCATGAAAATTGGGTCGGCAGTTCAACGACGGTTATTAAGAAAGAAAAAAAAATCTAAAAGCATTTTCGGCTGATTATAATAGCACGTTTATATTGAAATGAATCGTATTAAATACAGTATAAAAAGTAATTATCTTACCTCCCGGAAAATATTGCCAACCAGTACCAATAAAAGGTATTGAAGGTCTTGGTCCAGGAATATCGTTTATCGTTAAGTACGAGGTGCTTCTTGCTGTCGAACCTATCTGAACGGATTCATTATTTTTCCAAGTACACATTTCATGTCGTTGGATAACAGGAGTCCTAGAAGCTTTTGCCTTGGCCAATAATCTGAGTGACTCTCCATAAACATGTTTTGTTGCGGTCATAATAGGAGAACGAAATGGCCTCTAGAATCTCGGAAGTTGCTAAAAAGAGATTAATTTCACATAAATATTTTCATCATATTGTTTTAGAGTTAGTAATGAAGTAAAAGAAAAATATTGTGATCTAGGTTAGTAGTTAGCAAACTGTGGCTTACGAGCTACATGTCATATTTTCATGATTCTAGAGCGACTTGGCGATCTAAGGATGGCAGCCCGCTCTGCTAAAATGGCGCCTCTGAACGATGCACCACGGAGCAAAGTGAGCACACTGCGTAACAATAAAATGATGATCGTATTTCTTTATTTAAGTATTACATTACATATTTAGAGATTTTACAAGCATTATAAATAAGAGCCATGGTGGCTCAGGGGATAGAGCGCTTGCCTCCCAAATAGGTCACCCGGGTTTGAATTCCAGCTGTGACTGATCAAGACGAATTCCGCATCAGATAAGCACTCACCACAGTGCTGACGAAATATCCTCAGTGATTGATGGATCATGGGTTAGAGTTGTACCATTCCCGTCAGGCTAATCGAGGTAGATTTTTGTGGTTTCCCCCTCTATGTAACGCTAATTCAGGTTAGTTCTATCAAAAAGTCCTCTACGAAGGCAAATCGTTCCCAGTACTTGATCCAAGAGTTCCATTGTTTACTGAATTGGGTTCAAAATTACAAGGCTACAGAGTTGAACATCAGTGAACTCAAAAATTGAGCCGACTGCTCAATGACGGTTAAATAATAAAATATAAAAAAAGTATTAAAAATAAGAGTGCAATTGACTTATAAAACTTCTTAACCCCTTGGGGACGGGTGATTCAGAAAAGCATTCGTACAAAATCAGAATCAACTTGTAGTTAAATAAAAAACGGTAACTTAAATGTAGTCGTTGCTAATTTGACAGACTTACTTTACTTTTACTTTAATTATTGTTAGTTTAATCATATATATAATCAATGTTAATTTAAAGTATAACTAAATAGTTTTATTTTGAACAAAGTAATGGTGAATTAAATAAATCAAACAATTATAACTCCGCCCACAAATAAACTGCTAAAGAAATATTTTGATTACCAGTTTTATCTTTTTACCCTGATTGATACGGTTTTATGTTGTCACGTTTTTGTGACAGTCGGCGCGATAGGGTTAAGGGCATTCTAGATATACTTTTAGTGGTATTAATATACAGGGTGTTCCAAAATTCTCTTTACAACTTCAAAAATTCATAACTTCGAAAATAAACAAGATATTTAAATTCTGTCTTTTGCATGTATTACTGTAACTAATAAAGTTTTGTTTAGTTAACTTCACCATGCGCACCATTGGTGGCCCTAAGCACTTCCAGTCTGTTATCAATTTCAAGCCAGGTGATGTAAAGATAATTTTGGAACACCCTGTATATATAATGCGTCTGCTTCCAATTTAAAATCATTATTTTACTAATAAAATAATATAAAAAAATTGCATTTTATTTATTTTTAATTAGTATAAATCATTAAATTCATAATAAAGAAAATAATGAACAAATAAAATTCATAAATAAAGAAAAAAAAGCATAATTACTAATTACATTGTCATCTTTGCATTAAAATGAAAATTGCAGAGATATTAGTTCTTAGTAATTTTCTTAGAAACATTTATTTTATTTGTAATGAAGAAATAAAACTTGTTTACGGAAATAAATCAGATACAATATAAATATTGTAATTGATTTTCTCTATGTTTGGATTGTGTTCAGAGATTTTTGTTATTTTTTATAAAAAAAAATAATAAAAAAAAAACTCATTTGTCATGGAAAAAGGAAACTATTCTACTTCTACAAAAGTATACCAAATATATCTTACATTTATTTACTTCTCTTCAGAAGTGTCTTGAAAAAAAATTGACTTTTCTCAAAAAGGACTGTTGTATATCAAGTTTATTCCATCAAAATCAATCAATATGTTCCAAAGCTGAAGGGTATATTTTTCTATAATAATGTCCTTCTGTTACTCAGTATCATAGATCAGGAAAAGAAAAAAAATTCTTCGAATATTCTTCTCTTTTTATCTCTGTAATTGAAACACTGAAGTTCTTTATATCGGAAACGTAAATTTTCTACCAAACCCGATGTTATTTACTTCTTTGGAACTTACATTTCTTCTGCTTCTCGTTCGAAAAGAATGCTTTCTTTGTAAGAAAAGAAACAATCAATAAAACTTCCAAACTTTCTGGAACATTTTCCTTCTTCTTCGAACAAAAAAGTAATTTTTTTTTCTCCTACGCACTCAGTGTACTTGTAGTGAATTATAGCCTATGGTCGAAAAAATAGCTATGTTCAAAATAATATAAGAATAAAAACTGTCCCTGAGCTCTCAGAATTTGGAACGAACATTGACAAATTCCCTACTTTAGAGAAAAATCTTACAGTTGTTGCCACTCCGAACATACGCAATTCTTTATTTTAAATAAAAAAAGAAATCGTCTGCGAAAATTGCGTTTTGGAAACTAACGTATAACTGAGAAAAGTTCGGTTTCCAAAAATCTTTTCGTTTCTTGGAACATAAACAGGATCAGCTGTTCTGAATCTGATTTAACTCTCTTCTCTTGGTGTACCTTTGATTCAGGAGACCGCCGGGGAGAAGTTCCAAAAAAGAAATATCGCCAGTTGTTCGACGTCTGACGTCATTTGTTCCAAGTTTGTGTTCAGATCGATTGAATTACGTATACAAGGTGTTGTTTCTTCGTTGTAAAACCGGGTAAATGTGTGTCGAAATTGACAGCGCGTTAAATTTTTCTAGAGTAGTTGACACTTCGCGTTATTAACGTTGTGAGCACATTACTTGTTCCGCTGACAGGTTGGGTAGACTTACAGGTGATAGAGTTTTCTAAAACTTTGGAAAATCATTCTTAGAGCTTTTCATTTTGAGAAAAGAGAATTTTTCTTCCTAGTCTTCTTAACAGATTTTTTTCTTAAAAAAAGATTTGTTTATATTCTCGAAATATTTGTTTATTAAATATGTCACTTTTTGAATTTCGTAATTAGTAAGTTTTCCGTGAGTCAACATAACTTAGAATAAAGAGCTTGTTCGGATCCAGATGTGTGTATATATGCGGTTTATTATTAACTTGAACTGCATGAAAAATTAAAAAAATTTTAATTTATTATTACAAACGCTTATTTATCAATAAATAAATGTTATGAATTAATATTTTGGCACTGATTTGAATCACATAATTAGAATCGAAATTCAATTTACTTATTTATTTTATAGATTCAAATTAAGTCCAGCATTACTTAAAACATAGCGATAGAGCAGATACAGATGTGTGAGTGAGGTAGATTGGTTCGAACAATTTTTGATGTCGATTCAGATTTTTTGATTGGTATCAAAATGTAACTTACTTGTTGTTTGATTAGACTTCATTAGATTGATTTGATTAGATTGAACTGTTACGTGTTGCTTAAATTCGAATTGAATACGAAATCAGTTATTGCAATTACTAATTCAAAACACATACTCTGATTTTGAATAACTATTTTTATACTGAATCCAATTGTATTTTGTCTTTCATATTTACTATAAATCATTTAGTTAGAATTTTTTTCTTAAGATTTTATTTTAAATTCGAGTTGAGTCATTAATCAGAGATAATTTGTGAATAAAATAGAGATAATTTTTATTTTCGATGACAAATTAAATTCTTCAAACCTGTAATGCCATGAATGGTTTGAAAACGCTAAAAAAATTGAAAAAGGAATTTCTGTAATGTTTAAAAAATACCAGTTTTATAATTAAAAAAAAGAACTTTTAATCGCTTCAAAGCTAACTTTCGAATTTTTAAATCTCCTTCTGAATTGTGGGTGATAAACTGATGCGGAAGAACGGAGTGAATTAAAAAGAGAGGAAACTGGTTTCATAAATACATAATGACCGAATAAATATCGTTTGCTGCTGTATATTAGAAATCATTATGAGTTTTCTGGTCATCTGCACTTAGGCCTCATCTGCAATGTTAATGTTGAGAAAATGATGGCTTATTATGATAATCGAGTTGTTCGAAAAGGAAAGGGAAGGTTAAAAAGCATTTTGTTCCTTCTTTCAAATACCAGCCCTCTCTGAATTATCTGAACTGAAGATAAAGCTCTAATTAACGTTTAAAAAAGTTTTATGAATATATTAGGTTCAGTTTAAGCTATATTATACGAACGTGTTCCTTATTTTACTTAGATCGTTTTCAGGGAATAAGTGTGTATGTGTTTTTGACTTAACCTTAATAACGTAAAAAAAAAAAAAAAAAAAGATTGTTTCTTAGATTTGAATTTTTGATATTGACGTGGGAATCATAATTTAGGTTTTTAGTGAATAAAATGGCTATTTTATAACTTCAATTTAGTAACATGAAAAAAAATTGTAACATTAATTAATTAATTAATTATATANTTATTGCGCATAAGCTGCAAATAAACAGAACTCATTAGATAAGTTCAAAATGAAGAGGAAAAAAAGATACATTTTTTCAAAAAATCCGGAAAATGAAAGATATAATCTTTTCATCAGCTTACACGATATATCCGCAAAAAAGAGTGCTTACTGATATCGTATCAATATAGCCAAAGCAAAATATATTAAAACAATAGTGCGAAGAGCACTCAAAAATTCTTTTTTACAAAAATTACAACAAATAAAATCGAAATCATAAGCGCTAGGCTGATGATCAAATACTGGTGGCTATTTCAGTTAGCCTACATTATTGCAATATGACGTTGACGGTGGATCTAGTCTGAGACCTATGCATTTCGGTAGTTATGTGTCTCTCCCAATTGGTATTTTTTAATTGTTGTTAATTAAGAAATTATAGTATTCTTGCAAATTTATTCAAGCAGTCGAGTTTGGTGGCATATTATCCTACAATTCCTGAATTATCTCAATTAGTTTTATTTTTAAGATAATTTTGTTTACCATACTTAATAATAATAAAAAGAATAATAATTGAAAAAGACTGTTTTCAGTACCGTTTTTTATTAGTAGCTCACATATATTTCCTTTTTAGCTGTATGTTTTTTTACGTATGGAAAAAAAAAAAAGAATTAAAGAAGTTTATGCACTTCCCAGTCAAATCCTTCTCACAATCGGATTTCGTTGAGCTTGGGAATTCATAACAAGTGGCAAATTCTTTTCGCAAAAGCATTCTTATCGCAAAAGCCATTTTCAATTTCGAACTTCACCGAATAGGATTCTATTTTCTCTTTCGCTTCATTCGAATAGAATATATTTTTAGAATGCAGTGGCAACGCTCTGAATCGGATTTTTCATCCAAATTTTGATCGATGCGGTATGCAAGGTGTTGAAAAAGAAAACTTATCCCCAGTTCCTGTTCCTTTTTCCTCTTTTTTATTATTTTTTTGTTATGAAAGTTAGCTGAAAGTTTAAAGGAGTGTGAAGGTGTTTGGCCACACTTTTCGTTCGATTTCTTTCCCGAAGCACGTTTAGGGATTTTAAAGTAGGGATTCCAAAGAATTTACCCCTTCTAAATCCGGATTTTCAGTGCGTAGGGAAGGGGAACTAAAGTCAAAAATAAGTAATAGTGCGCGGAATGCCGATTCGTTGCGTGTGTTTTCACTTAATTCTCAAACAATCTTTTTTTTTTTATTTATTTTCTTAATTTCAGATTGTTCTGTTCTTGAATATATAAAGAGCGAGAGCAATTAATAAATTAAATTCATTTTTACTTTTCTTATTTTGGAAAAGAAAATCGTAGAATTTTTTTTATTATTATTTTTATTGAGCAATAAATATTGCTACTTCTAATTAAATTACAATTTGACAATATCCGTTTCAAATCAAAACTATACTCTAGAAAAATATTGCTTGATAAAAGCCTTATGTAGTTTGTACGAGCAGATCATAGTTCTTATTAGAGATGATATAGTTTATACGAGCAAAATATAGAGTGGAATATAGTTTATATGAGTAGAAGATTAAGTAGAATTTATTTTGTAACGAAGAGAATATAGAGTAGAATACAGTACTTATGAGTTGAATATAATTTGTACGAACAGTATATTGAGTAGAATATAGTTCATTAGAATATATTTTGTACAAACAGAAAATAGAGTCTAATAGAGTTTATATGAGTAGAATACAGTTTGTACGAACAGAATAGAGAGTAGAAGTAAATATTTGTAGAGTATAGAGAATGAAGTTCCTACGAGCAGAATAGAAAGTAGAACATAGTTCATATGAGTAGAATATGGAGTGGATTATATATTTTCTACGAACAGAACATAGAATAGAATATAGTTCATATGAGTAGAATATAGGGCGGAAAATATTTTGTACGAACAGAATATAGAGTAGAATGTAGTATATGAGTAAATCACATGTGTGTAAAATCTACATCGTACACGAGATATTTATGTTAAATATTGAATATTGCTCGATGTCTGCGAAATTATTTGTTCAATAAATTGTTCATCCAAGTTCGAAATTATTTGTTGAAATAATTTGTTCAACCAAGTAAATAGTTGCACTATTTACTTGGTTAATGTATGAATTACCGATTTAAAATGCATTTAAATGTTTACGATTTTGAAGAAAATTGATTAATTTAGTACACATATTAAATTCGATACTTCAATGAATATTACGAAAATAATTCTCAGCACCTTCCAAAATTATTCGAGTAAGATTTGTCTCGATGATAATTCATTCTGGGGTAGTTTTCTCCGGAGAATGTTTTCACTTATTCTAAGAATAATTCACTACGACTCACTAATAATAATTATTATTTAAAAATGAATGAATTACTAATTTTTCAATTTCTTCTTTCATTGTAGAAGGTGCTTTATTTCCCGATCCCTTTCCGACGGATGATAGTGACACTTCTGGTTTGCCGGTCTTTCTGGAAGAGCCACGTGATACATATGTCATCAGAAACAGGGCAGCCACGCTTTTGTGCAAAGCCAAGAACGTCTTGCAGCTGCACTTTGAGTGCAACGACAAGTCCTTCCATCATAGGTATGCATATTCATATTACGAAGTTTTACGAAATGTTATGCAGATCATTACATTTTAATATTTATTTAAGAAAAATAAAACATTTTTTGCGTTATTTTACAGGCACCACAGTGAGCAGACATTTGTAGATCCCAGAACAGGAGTGAGACACATCGAAGTGAGTCTTGATATCACTCGTAAAGAGGTTGAGGAATATTTTGGATTAGATGGTTTCGGTTGTGGTTGCAATGCCCTCTCATCCAGTGGCATCGTGAAAAGTCGGAGAGCCATCGTCAAACCAGCTTGTAAGTCTTTTTTATTAATCAACTTGATATTTCAGTGCTTTTGAATGATAGTGGTTCCCAAATGGTGTTCGGTGGAACCCCAGGGTTCCGTGGAAGAATTAAAGGGGCTCCGGGAGTTGAGACTTAATCAAATATACTTTTCTTGAAGTTTTTGAAATATGTTATTATACTTAGATCCAATCAATAGTCCAATATTTATTTAATATTTCGGTTGCCTTTATGAAATTACTTTAAATAAAATGTTAATAAAAAGAGAATAAATTTTTTTCTAATAACTATAATTGTTTTAATAACATTTTCTAATATCATGTTTTAGGATTTTTCATCGTGCTTCTGAAATTAAAATAAAATGACCAAATTCGTTAATAAAGAAATGTGGTTTTTCAACTTAAAGTTGCATTAGGATTTACATTTCTCGATCCTTAAGAGCACAATCAACTGGCTGTAGAATATTGATCACTGCTTGAAATCAATTTCAGGGACGTCCATAGTGTATGTGTGATAGGCTAATTGAAAAATCAGGCGCTTTGCAAATGTTGCCATTATTTTTTAATGCTTATTGGAAAATCTTCAATGTTTCCTAATCTACCTTATATTTTTAAAACTTATTACCCTCAGCCTGCCTATGTGCACTTAATTTTATTAGGAAAGGTGATGAAAAATTACTCCATATGAATAGGCTTAGACTTCTTTAAATAAGACTTTAATAGGGGTACCTAAAATAAGCTTTCCGGCCTTTTTGAAAACTATCTCAAATAAATCAGGCTAATTGGGTTAAGAATGGCGTGTTCTCAAACTTACCTAAAAGGTTTGTGGGATAACTACAATAAGCCTAGAAAATGTTAGGTTCACTTTTTTTTTATTTGAAAATCGGCGTTAAACAGCCAATCCTATTCTGATTATTCGACTGTCGAAGTACAAATCCGCAGCCTTGTAATTTTGAACCCAACCCATAAGACAAGGGAAGTCCCGTATCAAGCATTGGGACAGAATGGCCTACGTGGAGGACATTTTGAAGGAATTAACTCGAATTGGATTACACAGAGAGGTAAACTACGAAAACCTCCCACGGTAAGGCAGACAGTAAGGGGATTTCTAACCCATGATCCGTCTATCCCTTCGGATATTTTACGCCAGCACTGTGTTCGATGTGACTTGGTAGCAGAATCCGTTTCAAACAGCTATTCGCTGTGATTCGAACTAGGGTAACCTCTTTTGAAGGTAAACATTCTATTCTCTGAGCCATTGCGGCTGATTCGATAAATACTAGAGATTTTTTAAGTTAACTTGGTGCATTGCAAAATTCTAGTGGCTAGTTTCAAAAAATCTGATTATTTAATTAGCCTATATACACTTATTACAAATGGTGCAATTACAGCACAGTTGGCACAAATTACAATTGTGAGTAAGCTGAAATTGAAATATTCAATTCCTCCTCATTTCCACAGGATCATTAATTTTTATTTATTTGAGTAATTAAGAAAATACAGAGAAATTTACTTGAAAAGTTGTAAAATTTCAAGTTCAAATTTAATAAATTTAAAATAAACTTCGACTTGAAGAAATGTGTGTGTTTTGTTTTCAGTTTAACTTTGTAACAGGGTGAATTTTTTCCACCCGAATAGAGATTTTCAGCTAGGTAAAATGTTTCAGTGAATTACACTAAATAAGGAACTATAAAGTTCTTAAGATACTGTATAATAAAAACGGTATTTAGTCTGCCTCTTGAGATACCGTATCTAATAGCTAATAGTTTGAAACTGATACTTTCAATTCATCTGCAGTTATTAATTATATTAAGAACGGCGTTTAGAAAGCAGAAGCACCATTTATAAGTAGCCTTTTTTAAAAACTGTTGTGTTTATAGTAAAGGAAAATAAAAACTGTGATTCATTTAATGCTAGCTTGATATTTTAATAAAATTTGTGCAAGCGAATAACAACAAATAAAAATCTGCATTAATAAATCTGAAAAATTACTTTATAAATACAATTTAATTTATTTAATTTTTGAAAGATTAAAATTTTTGACTCTTGTTATAAATTTATGGAATAAAAAACAGAACATTAACATGAGCTATATCGGGTTAAACAAGCACTAAATAGAGACCGCCATTTTTATATCTATTTAGTGATTGTTTTAACTTAATTATATAAAAACCTCTTTTAAACGGTAATTAAAAGCTACCCAAATTATCTCTTATCTGCTTTTACTTCTGGAGTATTTCAATAATTGCCTAATCTCCCCTAACTAATGATGTTTCAGTTGCTCTAACTAATGGATCAGAAGAGCCGTAAGCTACCCGCATGCACGTTCGTTATCTCACAGAATTTTTCTATCAGTTACATCAGAGGTCTCGCGGACAAAATAGCACAAATACTAGTTCATGAATGCGTTTAGGTAAAAAAAACAACATATGTATTTGGAGTTATTTAATTATTTTTCTTGCATGATGGTATTTCAATTAAGCGACAAAACTCTTTAGGGAATATTCGTTAAAGAAACGATTCATTATTCATAGAAAATTAGTAGCGCATTTAAATTACGATGTAAAGTAAAGAACTCTAAATATCTTCTTGTTGTGCTGTTTTAAACATAACCCAAACCGTATTTTATTCCATTCATTTCATTTCTTCAAAATTTCTTAAAATTTAAAAAAACTTAAATTTTCTGAATTTAAAAAAAAAAAAATATTTCAACGTTATTACTAAGTAGCAACACTGGAAGAAATATTAACGTATTGTTTCTGTTTAAAGTTATACGTTTTTCTTAGTTCAATATTATTATCTTATATAAATCACTATTGGCGGTTTCACTATTTTGTAACTGGCATTTTTTTAATAGTAAAACTTGAGTTACTTATACGAAAGAAGTATAAACCACTAACGTAAGAAAAATTTTTTAGTTATAATAAATTTATCGTAAAAAATCTAATAATTCGTATGTGGAGAAAGTGTTTTTTGACACCTCTAGAAATCGAACCAGGGACCTTTGTTTCCGGAACCTGATCTAAAAGAGTATTCACCTCTTAATTAAGTTAAGAAGCTTTATGTAATAACCGTATAAATAAACAATCAACGAAGCTTTACGTAATTGCTGTATAATAGATTTACGTAATAGCTTCAAGTTAGAATTCTTTATCTAACAACCGTATAATATACAAATTTTGCTGAAGTTCGTAACAATTACGGGCACTGGACTTTTTTTATTTAAAAAATGGAACTGGCTGTGTAAATTAGAGTTCAAAATCTGTATAAGTAAAGTGTAAAATACATATAATCTTTAGTAACATTAATTAAAGTAAAACAGGCTAATTGGATTTGATTAAATACATCAAATAATTTCGTTAACTATAAAAACACATTATTTAAGATAATCTAATATAATTTTTTTACTTCCGTGAAAATTACAACCAAAGAATTTTAAAAAGTAAAGTTTTAATTTAATACTAAAATATCGCTATTTGGTTATTATTATTTACTTATTTACTTTTGATTGCTTTGGAAAGTAATTTAACTAAGAGAACTATTTTTTTTTTCTCGCAACTTTTTTTAAGTCATAGAATATTCTAACGAATTTTGAAGAGTTCCGCTCTTTTGAGGGATTTTCGGACAATTCCCTTAAGATTTATAATTAATATTTCACTCTGCTAAAGTTAATTTTTTTCTAAAAAAAATTATGTTATTAAAAAAATTTTTTTTACTCGCATAACGTATATTGACACTTTTTATTAAAAATGAAACCTCGTTTTAATTTGTCCTTTCATTAAAGGAAGTTAAACGGCGATGAATATTTCATCTCATCAAAAAAGTCACCTTTTAACTATGCTCATTGAACAAGAACGTTAATTAAAACCCTCCAAAAGGAAAGACAAGATTTTTTTTTTCTTAATCTACTATGAAAATGAGTTATTTTTTGTTATAATCGCCTGAACGCATTTAAAGTAAATAAAGAAAAAAAAATGCTACATATTTAATGAGATAAGCGAACGTATTTTTTTTAATGTAAACTTTAGTATACTTTCCAAGAATTCTACTAAAATAGAAAATATATTGCGTGGAAAGTAATTTAATGAATAGAAAAGTAGTAAGTAGTTTCGTTCGTGATTTTGTGGTTAAGGAGTTCGAAAACTTTTTAACCTAGTATAAATAAAGATACTTTCAGTTTCATTACTCAGTTTCTTTAAAACTTATTTTTTACACTTGTGCAGCATTTTACTTTCTGGAAAACTGCAGCACAGGACTTAGTCGAGTCTTGGGACACAGAATAAATAAGCATGTTTTGACTAATTTAACGCTTTAGAGAGAGCTTTTATTTGAGGAAGGGTATGTGCTTTAAAGTCAATGCTGATTTATTTATTTATTTTTCCCTTCTGAATAAGTGAGTAATTTTTTGAAAAACATTTTATCTCTAATTCTAACTACTATTCGAAGGAAATAAAATGCTTATAAATGAAAAAGAGTAAAAAAAAAATTTTAAAACTAGATTAAACATTTGTTTATTATTATTATTATTATTTGACTCTTTCTAATTTTAAATATGCACTCTGATTTAGAATGATTAGAATATTTTGTAAATTGACCTTTCTTCAATTCAATGATGTTTTAAAACAACTATTTTTTTTGTAGAGATATTTAGGTTTCATGCGTTATTTTTCTGCACTTTAAATGATAATTTTCTTACATTATACGACTGCTAATATATAAAAAAAAAAAAAAAAAAAAAGAAGGAAATATGTTGAAATTTCATATTGAAATAAGAATCCAATTACTCCGAAGCGCAAAACTTTCGCAAATAACTCATATGTAAAATCATTAACCTGCGAATCAAAACACGTAAAAAAAATTTAATGCGTACTGATGCCGAATCGAAACTGAAAATAACATCATGTAATCATTTTAGTTTATTATTATCGTCTGTGCTTCTTTCTGTTCTTTAAATCCAACGCTTTGTATGTGATCAATTTAGAAAAACACGAAACTTAATTTATTTCTACATTCTTCTCTTTCTTAACTTAATATTTATTTTATGATAATGATTATGCAAAATTGAGCCAAAATAGTTGCTTGATTCTTCAACCTCGGCGATCGTCTTAAATTAATAACAGTTCTATGTTTTTTCAAACGACTCTTTTGTATTTTACGCGGCACTTCGAATAAACTTTTTTTTTGTTGTTATTTTCAACTATTCGCTTAGTTATCGTTTGAGATTACGTAATTTTTTTTTCCTTCTTCAAATAAATCAGGTAAATGATCTTTCAGGTTTGTTGTGGTAATTGAATTCTCTTTCATTCCGCGAAAACATTTTTCTCTTCTATTTTTTTCTTTAATTTTTTTCCCCTGTTAATCTGTCATGACATTAAAAATGATTGCCATTTCGTGTTCTGTATAATTTTTCTGTTTGAAGAACGATTTGGAATTAAAAGATTTTAATCGGAAGTTCGGCCATGTTGAACAGTAAATATTTGTTTATTTGTGTACTTTTTCAGATGTAATTTATCGTATCGAAGGACTTCTTTTTAATTTGTGTAAGGAGAAAAGGAAAATAAAAATTTATAGAATAAACATAAATTTTCTTTTATAGATGTTGCAAAAGTAGAGTTTATCTTTAATCAGGATGAATAGCATTTTATATAACAGACGTAGTTTATCCCTATTTCAATTTAAGACATGTTTTTTACATAAAATATTTATTATAAAAGCTTCAAATTTATGGTATAAAGAGGAAGATAAAGAATTTATACTGTAATAATCATCCTACTTAAAAAATTAAAATTATTAAGTTAAAGTATAAAATGTATCTCATCTTAAACAGAAAAAGTATCATATTTAAATGCATAAAAATATCTAGATTTAAAATTAAAAAAAGAAAATGAAATATGAATTTAAAAGTTACCATCTTAAATCGCGAAAATGCATCAAATTATAAACAGATAAAAAGTGTAGTGTTTAAAGCTTTTATAAGTATTAGATCAAAAATGTATTATACTCCAAAATGTGTAAATGTTTAATTTACAAGCATGGGAAATCATAAAATTCGAAAATGCATAAAATACATTCAATTTGGGAAAAATATGATTAAATTAATATGTAAAAGTATTACATTCAAAGAAATCATAACAAAATTTAAAAAAAATCTTATTAAATAAAATATTTTACTATATTTCATTTTCTACTTCAAACTCTAATATATTCTTAACGACTAAGGCCTTAACGTTTATTATCTTATAAATTGACTTAAATGTTGTTAAATAATTTATGAGCCTTGAAAAGTATGGATGGACTGCAAGATACGAGTACTTTTAAAATTAACAGTTTAAGCACGTTTAAAAATAATTTGAGTCTTTTACAAATGTCATGTTTAAAGTCAATGTCAAACAAATGTCATTGTACCTGACCCAGATAATACATAATTGTAAGCATAACTTTACGAAATGCTCGAGATGCAATTTGGTTTATCTAAGTGCACTTATGATTGTCTGCAGTTGTAGAAAGCAGACAGTATAATTTGCAACAGAACTGGCAACGATACATATAGTGACAAGATGACATCTGAATGTATGTGCAATGACAAACTCATGTGCAACATGCACTCGAATTCGATATATCCAGCTCCCTATTTGATAATGAAATACACATATATATATACTGCATGATATTAAACGCACATATAATTCAGGATTTCTTAAAGTGCTATCTTTAAACTGCATTTTCAAAATTCCAAAATTAATATTTCTCTTAAACTAGTTATTGTAAAAAGTTTAAAAAAATTAGTTTTGAAACCATAAGAACAAGGAAAATACTTCAATTTTAATTCTTTTCTACTCTGTTAAAAATTTCCAGATCAAATTAAATAAAATCCATTTCTGCCGTAAAATGTTCTATCGAAATTTTTACAGAAATCTTTATTTACTCAGAGTCATTCAGTAATTTTATGGTAATTATCACTGAAAAAAATTGTGGTTTTTTCGATTTTTTGTTCCGACATATGTTCCGGTAGAAAAAGATTCAATTGGAAAAAGTACTGGCACCCTGGCACTTTTTATCGCAATTTGATCGGGAATTTTTACACTGCATATTTAATAGCACGAAAAAAAGTTAAATGTTCTTGAACACGCTATTCTAAGTTTTATAGTTTAATATGTTGCTATATTTTTAGAGATTAGACTTAATTAAAACAAATATTTCATTATATTTTATTCGCTCTATTTAATTGCAAATAAATTAACAGTAAGTAGTTGTTATAATAGCGAAGGTAAAGGATAATGATAATAAATTACTTAAAATAATCGGAATACATTTTTCAAAAACAGAATATTAATTGAGTAAATTGTGTTGAGAAAATTTATTTATTAATATAATAAGAAAGGTAATCATAAATTATGAAACTAGACAGATTTTATTATGAAAGTTGATTTTTCGATTCGCTTTTTTAAAAAAAATTAAATTAGAATAAATCTAATTTTACTATTTACATTTTTACAAATTTACTCAATTCATTGAAATTTGCTATAAAAGAAGCAAATATTTGCTTCAAAATTTGTAAAAAGCAAAAAAATAAGCTCGAAGAGTGAATGTTAGAAAAATGAATTTTTAAAAAAAATTCATATTCATAAAAAATTAAAATTTGCTTCACTTGAAACAAATAATTATTCAACTTAAAGTAAATAAATTTATCGATATGACATAAAAGAAATTTTAATTCTATTTTTATAGACTAATACTAAACAGAAGAAAAAAAAATATGACAAAATGGATAAAATATCGAACGAGTCTTATTTGAATCCTAATCCTTTTACCATGCAAAAAGAGCATTTCATTCTAAATATTTCAGCACTCAACCCCTTCGATGTTCTTCCTACATACTTAACAATTCATAAAGCGCACATTCGAGAACATTCTCACCCCCGCAAATAATTCATTCCTGTTGAAATGAGCTTATCTAAATGATAAGGGTAATAATCCTCCCCGGGGCTTCTAAATTGAAATGCCAACCCGTCGGCAGTTCTCCTCCTCTCTTAATTTATTCATATATTTCCGACAAATATTGTTATACGGAAAAGAGAGAGAATGTTAATAAAAGATAAGAGACTAGAAACAACTTCAAATAATTCAATGCTTCCCTTCAAAATGGAAGCATCTTCCTCTTTAGAGTGTGTTTTCCAGGAAAATTTAGGAATCAAAGACTTTCTCTTTTATGTGATTTCTGTTTGCTATATTTTCATGCATGCACATTATAATCTAAGCTTGATCAAAAGGCTTTATATGTTTGTTGTCTGATCGACGCATTTCATTAATAATTTAAACTTTAAAAATCGATGCACTGTCGCCTGAAATATATTGTAATTTATGAAAATAAAGCAAACAAAACATACGACTCCTTTCATATACGCTGGCGAAAAATTTAAATGCTTAAAGAATAAGAATATACACTTAATTTTAACCTCTATTTAAGTTTTTAACATTTTAAAGAGAGACAATTTTTATGAAAAATTAATTGACATGAAAAGCAGAATCGATGACGTCTTTAATTTCTAATTTTAAAACCACACTGTAAAAAATTCTGAATCAAATTACGGTATAACGTACCGGCACTTCGCGTGCATCATCCGTAAAATCCACTTTACCCGTAAAATTCATTTCAACCTTAAAATACTATGCCTTGATTTTTACAGTATTTATTTAGTTAGAGTGATTCCGTGATTTTACGGTAATTATTACTGTGAAAATTGCGGTTTCGTAACACGTTCTTTAAAAAATGAACTTTACGGTTGCTGATACTTTTTATCATAATTTGATTAGAATTTTTTTTTATAGTGTACAACACCTCAAAAACAAAGTTTAATCTTTTTTTTTTTTTTTTTTTTTTTTTTTTTTTTTTTACTAGAGCGCTAAAAAACAAGACTTTATTCCTTATTGTCACAGATTCTCAAAGATTCTTTCTTCTTCAAACATTCTTCTTCTTCCTCAAAATTCAAAGATTCTTCTTATTCTTTCTTCTTTCTCTTTCAAAAAGACACTTATTCTACATTAATAAAATGATGAATAGATTTTTCTCAAGTACACAAAAACTGGATCTTTCACATATTGTCTGAGCAGAAAACTAGGCTTTCTGATTTCACATAAAATCACGAAAAAAAAAAATTACAAAATTAAGAGCTGATTTTTTTCCCAATATAAAAGAAACAGACCGTTAAAATTCTGGAATAATCATGATGATAGAAACAAAATATTTTCTAAATCATTTCAAGCTCACCTTTGAGAATAAATTTTTGATCAAGCATGATATGAACAGGTTTTGTAAATAGAATATGGAGTGATGTTCAAAAATCATCGTTTTTTTTTCTCATTTAATAAAGTTATGTATTAAATTAATTTGATAAAATTTATTTTCGTTATTCCAAAAATAATTCCCAGATGGCAATGACATGAAAAACTCTTTTCATTTTTAGATCTGAAAAAACATTTTGAAAACCAACCATTGAGCACCCATGTTGCCATTGAAGGACAAATATCGTTACAGTGTCTTCCTCCAGAGGGCGTGCCACCTCCTGAGATATTATGGTTAAAAAGTGGAGACCTAATTGACACTGCTCGAGATCCCAACTTTATAATATCCAATGAAGGCAATCTGCTTATAAGTGTGGTTCGGTTGGCAGACATGGGCAACTACACATGCATGGCCAGGAATCCTGCTGGCTCCAGATATAGTGAAACGGCTACACTCACAGTTTATGGTAAGTTTTGCTTATAATCATACATTTGCATGCCAATTACAGCAGGGATCTTCGAATTCAGAGAATCTTAAAAAATTGTGGTTGATATCCAATAATTGTGCTTAGCAAAGTTTAACTTCATTTCCAAATGACCTGAAAATTTAAATCTTTTAAGACTGCTGGTTCCTAAAAGTTTGTTCTGGCTCTCAGAAATTTTGAATTTTCGTAGACCTTGAAAAGCAGCATGCCGCTTGAAAAGCAGTAGCTTGCAAAATGCCACTTAAAGCTATCTAAAATCGAGTATACTTTTCTTCTTACGGTTGAATTGGTTGTATGTTATTGAAAACTAAAACTGGCGAACATTGAAAATATGTCAAGAACGAAACCTGCATCCCATTAATTAAAATGACCAATCAGAACAGGATCGTTTCAATAAGAAATATTTTTACCTCAATATATATTTTTTAATATAAAACTATTTTCACCGTTTTAGTATGTATGAACTAATCACTATTTTACTACGTCTCTTCTAAGTAATAAATATTGTATTTTAAAGCGGCGTTTTTATTAATTCTATTTTAATAATGAAAACTATCTTAAAATAATAATTCTTCTCTCAAAGCACTACAGCCTGTTCCAGGGCAAGGGCGTCCCAAGTACTCTTTACCATCTCGTCTCATCCACAGCAAGGATTTTACAGTTTCTCTTGTTTACAATATGGAACTATGCTTAGTAGGGCTTTGGACTCATATCCAAGAGGCCATGAGTTTGATCCCCGTCGGCCGAAGACTCTCCTTGCAGTAAATGGTTACTGGGGCATCTTAAATCTGTCGGATCACTAAGTTCTCCGAGGTCCCATAGCAAATCAATACCTTTGGGGATACTGAATTAGAGATTGATCGTTCTTTGGTTGAGGTCAAAATTGCGATGTGTGGTTGAATGAATGGAAGTATGAATGGGTTTGCCCTATAAAGCAGGCTGTGACGTGTATGTGTAGATGAAGACGTATTCTTGGCCATAGATGGCGCCATTGAAAAACAAGAAACACACCCTCTGCATTAAATTTGCTTGTTTTCACTGAGCAGGCAAGTGTGACTTTAGAAACAAGAACAACAATGTGAAAGTCCTGCTCTATCGAGTTAAGCCACCTAATTGGTGGTTTTCCTCATTTTTTGTTTCCCATCGGATTAGTAAAAGTGAGCTTTAGTAATTTATAAAAATTATTTCGGGCCTTTTAGACATGGTAAAAATGTATTAAATAAGGCATTTTGTCTCTTTATTAAAATTTCATAAAAAATAATCATCTCTAGATTTGAGGCCTCAAGATTTTTCCTACGTTTTTTCCAATAGATCAAAATTAACATAAAATCCTCTTACCGAAAAGTTTACTCTCATTTTATTAAAAAGTCTTTTTCAGTCAAGTTCTTAATATTCTGTAGAATAAGTTGAAAAGAAAAAAAAAATGTTCGAAAGAAACACTGACCTACTCCTTTCTTTTCTTACCTGCATCATCCATTTCTCTTAAAACGAAGTCGTGCTGCAGAAATTACCCCTACCCCACCCCGTTAATGACAGACTCCAACCCTTTGGGCACTTTTTCTTTACCTGCATCCCCTTCCCACCCCACTTCTTTCAATTTTTCTATTTCTTTTTTTCTTCAGCAAGTTGTTCTACCAGTGGGAAAGAAAATTGTTTGGGAAGGAATAGCTTTTGCCCCCCGCCTTTAAATACCCTTCCCCCCACCTTCATTTAACCACGTGAGCCACTTAGGGAGGAGAAAGAATGGATAGTATTTACAAGGGAATTTAAGTTTTTGTAGGGGTCAAAGGGTGTTCGTGCCGACCGCTCATTACCTCATCGTCCGTCTTCTGTCTTTCAGGGCCTACAGGATAATTTGGCTGAATTATTTATTTATTTATTTTTTACCATCGGTTTTGTTCGATTTGGCGGCATCTTTCGCCTTTTCGCCAAATAGAAAATAAGAATAAAGTTTATATATTGTTCAAAGTAACATTCCAGTGGATTTACGGTTAACACCGTGATTTTTCCTCGTTCCCTTCCCCCCCCCTTCTTTTACTAATAATTTATAATAGAGTAATGGAATGATGCTATAATGTTAGAACAATTATTATAATTATACGAAAGAATTTCACAGGGTGAATAAATTAAAAAGAAATTATTTTTTATTGAACTTTTTTTTCAGCATTAATTTCAAGAATAAATTAATAGCTTTAATAAATTAAGATTATGAATACTTAGATTAATTTAATTTTAGCCTCTTAATATATGTATTTTATTTATTCATTTATTTATTTATTTATTTTTTAACAAGTTTGCTCGAAAATTTAATTGTCTGGCCCTGTAAGAGTTACTCTTGCATTTTTACGATTTTTTCGGTGCAGACTTTCCTGCATTAAAGAAAAACGGTTTTCCCATAATATTCCATAGAAATGCAGAGCGTCGCAGAGAAGTGCTAGTACAATTTTGTGCAGGGCCGCAATGCTTGTGCAATAATAGATCTTTTTTTAAGCCCAGCATGAATTTAAATAATAAAATCAAGAGCAGTGGTGACTCAGGGGTTAGATCGTTTGCCTTCCAGTGAGGTGAACCGGGCTCGAATCCCAGCGATGGCTGGTCGATACGAATTCCGCACCCGGCTTGACCACTGTGCTGACGTAAAATATCCTCAGGGGTAAACGAATCATGGGATAGTGGTAAATGGATATTCCCTTGCCGTCAGACTAACAGTGGGTGGCTTTCGCGGTTTTCCTCTCCATTAACGCAAATGTGGGGTAGTTCCATTAAAAAGTACTCCACCGAGGCAAAATTTCTCCCAATATTTGATCCAGGAGCTTCCTTGTCTTCTGGATTGGTTTCAAAATTACAAGGCTGCGGCGTTGAACATTAGTAGTCGTAAAGCTAAAATTGGGTCGGCTGTTCAACGACGGTTATAAAATAAAATTAAATAACACCATGAAATTAAGATAACATTTTCAATAAATTAATTTTGACTTTTAATTGTAGTTCTTTTTGACAAGTTTGCAGGAAAACTTCATTACCTAGCCCTCCAAACATTTGTTATGTGGAATCTTTAGATGCAGGCTTTCCTGAATTTAAAAAAAGAAAAGAAAAAAAATCTATGTTATTTAATGGGAAAATAGTGTGAAGCATATAAAAATCAGTACAATTTTATCTAGAATCTTAATAACAGAGAAAACCCATCTAGCTTTGGGGGAAAGCAAGCAAGAATTTTTATTGATAATAAATTTTAGAATGAGAAATGGCCATTTAGACAAATAGTTTCAACGTTTTATTTATGTTTGCTATAACCTGAATAGCAAAACTTTTTTTAAAAAAAATTTGAAGGGTAAAGGATCATTTTCCAGAAAAATTGATATTTTTAAAAATACATTCATATTGCCAATTTGTTATTTACTGTGTATCAACAAACAAAATAAAAAGTTCAGAGAAAAGTTTTGCTTCTTAAATTTCCAATAACTCTTTCTATAATGAATATATATACTTTTTCAACAAAGCAAAATTATACAAGTTTTTCTTTTCTTTACTCAATAATTACGCATGGACAAAGTCACACGATTTTATTGGCCAGTTTTTGTTTTATTCTTTTATTAAAATTTAAAAATTGATGTAAATCTATTTGTTTATCATTTCTTTTTAAATTTAGAAAACTGTACAACTCTAGAAAATCAATCTTTAAAAAGAGCTTTCTTTTTACAAAACAGAATCGTTAAATATTGCAACATTAATAATGTTTTGTTATTGTTTTGTAAATAAAACATTTCAATGAGTGGCGCTACGTGCAATGCGAAACTGCAACTGGAAAATATCGACTTATATGCAAATATAAATTGCAACATTTTCGATAATTGCAACATTTGCAATATTTTTCAGGGGACTGTTGTTACAAAAAAGAAAAAGTACTTTATTTTTAATAAATCTGCTTACGTACAATAAATATATTATTTTGCAAAAATGAAACTTTAATGAATAATTTTATTTATATTTTGATAAAACTATTCCATTTTAGCTCGAGATTTCTATTTTTCATTAATAAAGGATCATATTTTTATTCTATGCTCTCTATTTTTATTTGCTGATTGTAAAGAAAGATACTTTACATCAATATTTACAATTTAAACCTTTTTTCGAATCTCTATTACTTCAAAAATCGAATATTAATGTCTTATCTAGGGAGTTTATGAGTTTACTTATTTGAAAGTAATCTGAATGGGAAAAGAAACAACAAATGAAATACAATGAAAAATCTAAATAACTACTTCAAAACACTTGCATTAAAGATAAGCAACTAGTTCAGTTTTTAAAAAACCGAAACCTGACAATAATAAATTTTTGAATTCTTCTTATCCTACGTTTTATTGCATAGCAACCCATTCTAATTAAAAACTTAATGAAACATTCTTTTTTTTCTTTACATATTAAACCGAGATGGCTTTTCCTTAGCGTCAAATTAAATACAAATATTAATTTAAAAGAGAAAAATATGCGAGATATTTAGCCGCTCTTATTTAATAAAATTTTTAATTCTTCCTGACATTTACTTAAATGAAGCAAGGGTTTTTAAAAAAGTAAAGTTTAAGATCATGTTTTACGCTGATGAATGATATCATTCGCTACAGCTCTCTTTGTTTTTATTTTAAAAAGAGACGTAATTAATGAAGCAACTTTATGAGCTATAAAAAGAAAGTAAAGCATTTAAAATGAATACGAAAATGGCTTTGTAATTAATTTTAAGATGTAATGTAAGGATTTTTGAAATTTAACTACACTATCTCTTTCGTGTTCAGGCTCAACTAAAAATTAATTCATTGTTTCCGTTAAAAATGTGCAGTTTCAACGCGATAAGTGAAAGTCAGCGTAACTTTCGTTTAGACACTTTTAAATTGAAATGGCGATCAAAAGTTGTAGTTTTTTTTTTTATCCTTCTTTCAAAATTTTATTGTTCATGCTTTCTGAAGAAATTCTTCTAAACAGTATGAATA